TGGGGGCTAAGGAAATGCTTATCTCCCCAAGCGCGGCCTTCATCAAACCATTCCATCACAGTCTTCCATTTTTTAGAAGTACCTCTTCTAAAATATGGTCGGCTCCAGAGTCTGTGTGCCTCGTCTCAAAAGAAAAAGGAGACTGATTGATTGATTATGCATTATCACGTCGGTATCGACTCGTAGTGACCACATAGATTGATCTTCTCCGGGAAGATTGATTTACCCATATTCAAATTCTTACACACGTTCCATGCAGTGGGATGTCAATCCTCATTAACTGAGAGTGGCATTTATCACTCACTTGTGATAAATTGAGGATAAAGGGTGGATCTGGCCTGGAAGGAGGAAATGTTAGGCCAGCACCCCAGAGTGTTAGAGCAGCTGGGTTTCAAGCAGTTCAAACCATGGTGTCGAATGATGCTTCCAAGGGAATACAAGAGCTCAGGCCTTCAAACGATTTCTTCTTTGGGAGGATTCCCTTTAATTTGGAATAAGGCATGGTTCCAAATTCCCACCTGTAATCATTTTTAGTTTGAGAGAAAGCTCACTATTAATTAAAAAACAACAACAGTGGCTCTAGTCCTGGTCATAAATGTGCTGTGACACTGGCAGAATAATTGCTTTTGTGTCTGTCTTCATTAAAAAGAGAGCGCGCGCGCATGCATCCCAGTTGCCAACCTGTGGGAAACTGCCCCTGGTAACCAGCTGCTCATCTCCTGGGGACCCACAACTCCTTGGCAACCTCCGATGTCAGAGATGCAGCAACATGAAAGGGACCGTCTGCTCATCTCTGCTGTCTCTGATGTGCAGTAAAACTGGAACTGCTCTAGGGTTTTGCTCCTGAAGGCACCTTCAAAATGCAAGCAGCAGCAAAAATGTTTGAAGAGTTTGAGCCCGGACGTGTTGGATTGGTGCTCCTGGCAGGGAGCTTAAAGTGTTGGCCAAAGGTGGAAGCCAGCCACGTTGTCTAGGAGTCATCACAGGAAGCAGAGGAAAGCAATTTGTGCTAATGACAACCATGATGTCCCAGGTCCTGCTCTCTGTCTCACCTTTCCTTCTAAGCCAGTGTTTCTCAACCTTGGCCCCAGCATGGCTGACTGGGGAATTCTGGGAGTTGAAGTCCACCCATCTTCAAGTGGCCAAGGTTGAGAAATACTGTTCTAAGCAATGTTGCATTGACCCCAACCAGTTGTGAAGGAAACAGCCACACTAACAAAGGTCCAAGGGAGGTTTTCTGATACTTGGGCCCTGAACTATATCAAGCTTTCTAAGTTTTAGCTAGTCAGGCCAATTTAGAACGTTTTTGGTTCTTGCTTCGTTTTAAGAAGAATCCAAAACAAAATGATTTATGTCCACGCCTTTCAACTCTAGTGAGGAATCTTCTTGCAGTACCCCAGACACTTGTATCTCCTGAACAGCTTCATGGGCAACCCTGTAGGGTTGGAGAAACAAAACACAGCACAGAAAGAGCTGGTGCCTTAGCCCGATATTTTGCAAACCAGCCTGAAATAATTCCGCCACCGGGCCTGAATACCTGCTCACCCTGTATCTTCTTTTTCTTTAAGTTCTCAACTCAACGTGCAGTGATTTTAACCATGGAACAGCCTTACACATCGCTGCTTCAAATCTGTGTTTGGGGGCTGTGAAGTGTCTTCTGGAACACGGGGCCAACCCTGCTGTCAGGGTGAGAAAAAGGGGGGGCACAGATAAGGGGGAGAAGGGCGTTTGGCTGAAAGAGGGGAAGACCCAATATTCTCAGGATCATTTAAAGGTTCCCAATGCCTTCAAAACCTCCTCCTCCTCCTCCTTTATGCATGCTTTATAAACATGCTTTATGCATGTTTGGGACTTTTGACCAACCCCTCTAGACTGCTGCTGCCAGAGGGAGAGGCAAGCTAATGACGCTCATGTATAAAATGTGTAAAACTAGATGCAAAAATTAGATTTCAAAGATGCAATATAAATAGCCTAGCCTGTTAATCAGGAGACTTTGTGAATGTGAGCACCTCCAGCGACTCTGCTGTAACTGACATTACCAGAACAACAGGTTAAGGCTCAATGGTGTTTAGAAAGGGAATTGACTGGTAGGAGCAAAAAGATGCAAAGGGTGGATGTGTTTATCTAGCTGAAAAGAACCAGGTCTGTTCTCGATTATATTGGAGAGCAGCCACAGCAGAATGGACTTAAGTCTTGCATCTCCAATTTGGGGCCTGTTATTCCTCTCATTAAGTTCTAAGAAGGCAGATTCTGGTAGAATATTAGGAAAAAATTCCTAACAGTAGGGATCCTGGGTGTCTGCAGGGAGGGGGCTGTGATTGTGTGGTCGAGGCCATCCTCTTGATTTTTTTGACCCCCTTCTTGCAGACCCCCCAGGAGGGGCCATTTGACCAAGGAATCGAGCCTATAGGAAGGTGGTCAGCTCTTCTTTGCTGGAAGCGCTCAAGCAGAGGCTGGACAACCAGCTGCTTAAGAGGGTCCATTGAGTTCCATGCCCCGAACAGGGGATCTCAACAGCCCCGTTTAACTTCATGAAAAGGGCCTTCAGCGCAATAGACCAAAAGCCCCCGCACTGTCCTCGGGTGGGGAAAGACCGCACTTCCCTCTCTTGCTCTCTCTCAACAGAACAGCAAAGGCCAGGTCCCAGCTGACGTTGTGCCAGACCCCATGGACATGACGTTGGACAAGGCTGAGGCCGCCATGGTCGCCAAGGAGCTGAAGCAGCTGCTCCTGGATGCGGTGCCTCTGAGCTGCAGCCTCCCCAAGGTCACCCTGCCCAACTACGACAATATTCCTGGGAACCTCATGCTCCTCTCCCTTGGCCTCAAGCTCGGCGACCGAGTCCTTGTGGATGGGCAGAAGGTAAGGAAGGGGCAGGCCCACAAGGACGGGGGAGAGGTTTGCCCCATTTTCCTTTCAGGCTCCACTGTGGCTGCGTTTGAACTGCCTGGTTTTTCATCTGCTCTAGATGTTGTCGGCCCTTTGAAGTAGGCCAGATCAGGAAACTGATATTGCAAGAATTACAGGAATGCTACCTTGCTGTTGTAGGGTATAATAACAGAACCATGAAAGCCTGCCAGAGTTTCCCTCTGTCCTCTCTTATACCAAAGAGAATCAGGGCAGGACAATCTGGAGCTTCTTTCTCACATTTTTTGCCTTTCCAGGACAGAGTTATATTTTCCCTTAAGAGCTCCGGTGTGACTTCGTCAAGGTTATGTCTGCATTCCTCTACAGACCTGTAGCCACAGATAACCAACAGTAGTTCTGAGATTGGATTTTGGTGCTCTAGTTGGGAGGGAGGGAGGAAGGAAGGAAGGAAGGAAGGAAGGAAGGAAGGAAGGAAGGAAGGAAGGAAGGAAGGAAGGAAGGTCGGTCTGTGCATAGACTAAGAGCCCAGCCACTCCTGCAGCATTACTGAAAATTCTGGGAACCCCCTCAAACTCTCCAGGGACTTGACATGGGAGGTGCCCCTAGAGTAGCTATCCAAGAGTGTTCGTACAGTTGTGTAGCTCTTGGGGCTGGGCTACACATTACATCGCCATCCAGATGTCCATCTACATGAATCAGCTACACATACAGGCCGCTGCTTCTTCATCTGGATCACCCTTGTTGAATTAAGTCAGAGGATCTTGGAAGCATCCACTTCCTGTTAGATTCCCAGCTCAGATTACATCAGTATCTAGACAGGTGATGCGCAGGTAATTTTCTGTTCCCCAGGTATAACCCAAACCCATCGTGTTTTGCTATAGGTGGGCACCTTGCGTTTCTGTGGCACAACCGAGTTTGCGAGCGGCCAGTGGGTAGGCGTGGAACTGGATAAGCCGGACGGCAAGAATGATGGCAGTGTGGGTGGAATCCGTTACTTTATTTGCCCACCAAAGCATGGTACGTTTTAGCAGAGTTGGGTGTACTTTGTACCAACATTTCCTCTCCCATCGAGTTCATCCAAGTGAAATATCCGAAGTAGCGAATAGTCCTAACTTGGGTTCCTGCTAAGCTTCTCATCTAGGCCAAGGGAGCGAAGCTAGCCAAAATGAAATTCCTCCCATTGCCAAGGGGGAGGAGATCAAACCACCAAGCATGGGTGGGACAAAGCCTTTCTTTGAAGTCATGACATCTTGGGGGATTTGAGAGAATCGGAAGAGCCTGCAGCACTGGTCACCCCAACAAGGAGAGAAGGCGTAGCCCATGGATCAGAGGCCATGGTCCTGTGGAAGAGTCAAGATTACTTGACTGGCTGGATGCCCTTTCATGGATGATCATTGTGAAATTATTTCCAGCACCACTGATCCGGGGCTACCATTTACTTCTCTTTTGCCTTCCCAGGATTATTTGCTTCAGTGTCCAAGATCTCCAAAGCTGCTGACCAAACACCTTCATCCGTAACCTCCACCCCACGGACCCCGCGCGTGGACTTTTCCCGCATGACAGCAAAAGGGCGCAAGGAGAAGGACAAGGACCGGAAAGGTGCGCTCTTCTGAGAGGGTGCTGTGGAGTGGGCCCCCAGGGCATCTGGCAGGCTCCAGACAGTGGCTTCTCCTCTCAGCTTTGACTCAGCTGCTCAGATCTTGGAGTGCAGCAGCTGGGGTGGTGGCCCATAGTAGGTGGGAGGAGAAGAGGCGTTTCTTCCCTCTTCTAGGGAGAGCAAAGGGGTCCGGAAGAGCACAAACAGGTTGAAAGGAGCTATGAAAGAGTGTTGGAAAAGGAAGAGAGACAGAGGAGGTGCAACATCAGCCTGGGAGACTGCCCTGCCTAACATTCCAGCCAGGCCCATTGCTGACCTAACTTTCTCCGTATACGTATATTTTTTTGGCCTGGCCCTCCAAGCAGCACCAGATGGCCGAATCAAGCCCCACAAAATCCACAGAATGGGACCCACCAGAGGCCGAGGACTTCACAAGCCCAGTGCCCTGGGAAGAGGAGTGAGCCAGAAGACAGGTTGCAAACTAGGACAGGAAGAAAGGGGGGATGTGCAGAGCCAGGGGATGCAAATCATGGATTGATTTGCTATAGCCAATCAACGCTTGACTGCCAGCCTTCTGATGACATGACCCAGCAGTTGGGCCTTATTTACCCATCTGATGAACTAGGCAACAGGCAGACATTCCATGAGAGTCAGCACAAGGTTTGTCATCTCCTACCAGAGTCACCCATAGAAGGGTCCCCAGGATCAAAACAGTGGGCACGGCCTGGCCATTGAAGCTCCACCCTTGGTTAACGTGTGTCGCACGGATTGCATCCCCGTAAGAAGAGTCAGGGTGTCAGCTGCCCCAGTTGCACCCACCATTCTGATCCTGTTGACCCCCTTGGGGATGTCCCTGTCCACCAGGGAAGTCCTGGAATGCTGCATAGGGATAAACCAAAATACGTCGCTCTTATTTCTCTCTCTTCTCTGCCCAGCTCTCAGGAAGAAATCCTTATCTGTTGGCAGCCTGGATCGTGAGGGACTGAAGATCGACATTGGGGATCAGGTCCTGGTGGCGGGACAGAAGCAAGGCATCATTCGCTTCTATGGGAAGACCGATTTTGCCCCAGGTACGGCAGACACGGGGCTGGAGGAGAAGACGCTGGCTGGGGGTGGGATGAAGACAGGGGCTGAGATGCGGGACCACAACTGCCTTTTTGTGACCTTATCAGGACGACGCCCACAGTACAACATAAATCAGAAGTAGTGCAAATAGTGAGAGCAACCTTTACGCTGCTCTTTCCCTAGGCTACTGGTTTGGGATCGAGCTGGACAAGCCCACGGGGAAACACGATGGCTCTGTCTTTGGAGTTCGCTACTTCACCTGCGCTCCCAAGCATGGAGTTTTTGCTCCTCCTTCCAGGGTCCAGAGGTAGGCTGGCGGCTGGAAGCTGCGAATGAGAGTGCCTCCCTCCCAGGTTAGCCACGACTTCTGTTTGCCAACCACAGCGAACCCACGCAGATGAGTTGAAGATACCAGAGTTGCCCTGGCTCCCAGTTCAGTGCGCCAGACAGAAAGCCACGTGCCATGAGAAAAATAGGGATTAGCTCCTTGGGACAGCTTTCCCCAGGTTAGCGCCCTCCAGGTGTATCAGGGCTTCCGCTTCCGAAATTCCCCACCAGCATAATCAGCACATCCAGAGTGCCAGATGTGGGAACAGCTGCCCAAATAACTTCCACACTGGGCTAAGCAAAACGCTTTAAGCTGGTTTTAAGGCGGTTTTGAAATACTTTCGCCCACCTCTTTATCTCCTTGTGACTTTCATACTCTTTTCCCCAACAGTCCCCCGGGCCAGAACAATAAACATTGGCATGCAGTCGAAACAACGGGAAGAAAGATCTTCTGAGCCGTTAATGAGCTTTTTTTGCTTGCCAAAATTTTTACTGCTTTTAACAGTTTCACACTTTGGCAATATTCTTCCAAGGGAATGATCATGGCTCTGTCTTTTTAGCTTTCTGTCACTCCTTATTTTGCCATGTGAACCTCGGCTAAAAAGAAGTTGCATTGCAATCAACAAAAGGAGTCAGCTGCAGGCAGTTAAATTAATCCTGATGGCAACAGAAAATTGGGTCTATCCCAAACTCTTTTTTTGTTGTTGTTAAGTACTTGGAACTGTCATATCCCCTCTAAGGGCCCTGGAAATGTAGCTTATTTTTGCCTGTTAGACCCTCCTGCCCTGATGGCACCACTAGGCTTCCAGTAACTCAGTTGATGCTAACTTTGTGCAACTGTCTCTGCTGCAGAATTGGAGGCCCCCAGGACTCCCAAGATGGCACTTCAGGGAAGAAGGTGCACCAAGTTACCAGTAGGTATACCCTGGACTTCACTCATCGCTATTTGGGGGAACAGAGGTGCTATTTAAACATAACGCCACAGTTTGGGAAAGCAACATTAGGGGGATTTGCTAGGAACCCATGTATGGCAACCCAGTCTATGGCATGCATAACCTTGGCCTCCGCTGGATTTCCGTGCCATCTCCTGCAGGAGAAAAGATCCCGGAGAAATGAGAGAGGAGGAGGAAAGGGGCATCAAATTGGCTTCTTTCTCTGTTTAAAAAAAAAAAAATGACTTTTTCCCCCTCTCTTATAGTTTCACAGCCAAAGCGCAACTTCACCACAGTCAGATCCCCGAAAGACATCACATCGGAAAATTCCATCTCTAGGTAAAAGCTGGGCTGTTGCTGTCTCTGGAGCCCTCTTAATCCCCGTCAGTAGATTTTAGCCTCTTGGCTGCTCTTGGCTGCGGTCTTCAGCTGGGCAGACGGGCTCCGCCGGCTTTCGCGGAGGCCGGAAAGGTTCCCAGCGAAATGAATTCCTTGATCCAAAGCGCCCTCCCTGCTTTATAGGCAGGGTCCTCCCCCACAGACCCAAACCCTGTTAAAGCCACACAGCACTTCCATCATATGTCCAGTCGAAAGAGCTGATTTTAAGGGCAGACGGGCTATTTATTTTTAATAGGCGAAAGGGAACGATGGCATGGCTAGTTCAAAATGCGGGGGGCAGGGCACTCTGGCTTTGCCTCTGCAACATCTCTACTTTGCAAGCTACACTGGTTCCCAGCGGGCTTCTGGGTGCAATTCAAGGGGTCGTTGGCCACCCACCCAGCCCTTCAAGCCACGGGATCGGCCGCTCTATGGGACCACCTTTCTCCTGTGTCTCTGCCCAGACAGTAAGATCTGCCAGAGGTAGGAGCCCAGCAGGAAGCAGCTTTGAGACCTTGGCCCTTCTCTAGGGCTGGGCCTGCCCCTGTCAACCGACGTCACCCTGAAGACCGTATGACTCCGACCCTGTTATGCCCTCGTAAAGCTCTAAACCCCCGGCTCTTCCAGCAGGCCCCGGGGCAGGGTGGAGAATGATGCAGGAGCCCCCGCAGGAGAGGATCCGAAAAGCTAAGGTGGTAGTTCCCATCTTGACTTTTTGGATCTCTCCATGGATGATCCACTCCCTGGTGGTGGAATTTTATTGCACGACTGGGACTGAGGATCGCTTGTCTGATTACTGGATATTACTATTGTTCGGCCGTTTGTCTGCTTACTCTTCCTGTGATTCTCCTGCTGTTCTTAATCCTGCACAAGCCACCTAGAGTTACTTTGGTAGTTGAGGTGTCCTCTGCTGATTAAGTACATCTCCCTTAAGGGGGTCCAGAAAACCTCTTTCCTTCGACTCCTCTTCTGTCGCTTTCCCACCACCCCTGACGTGAACTACACCACGCTTCCCTTTCTCTCCTGCAGGATCCTTTTCTGTTGCTGGTTCCCGTGGATGCTCCGTGCGGAGATGCAGCCGTAGAGTCCCTGCGTCCTTT